TAAGAGAACACAAAATTGTGGCATATTGGTGTCTTCAAAAACAAGATATTATGAAGAATCACATGACAGCAATCATGTTGATGAAGAATTGGACTACCATGGTGTGCTAACTGATATAATTGAGTTAGACTACCATGGGTAGTTTAAGGTGGTGTTGTTTTGTGGTGATTAGGTAGATCCCACCAAGGGTAAGGGTGTTATGAAGGATGATTTGGGTTTTACCCTTATCAACTTTAACAATTTGATTCACATTGGGAAAGAATTTGCTCATGAGCCATTTGTCTTTCTATCACAAGTCCAACTAGTGTTTTATGTAGAAGACCCTAATAACACTAAATGGCATGTTGCAATCAAAAGAAGACCTTAGGATGCTTTTGCAAATTTTGATGCAATGGAAGATGAGAGTTGTAATAAATGTGTCCCTTTTAGTCTTCAATAGTTGGATGCCATTTCAATTGATGTTGGTTTTGCAACAAGGGTTAAGAAAGATGTCCTAGGGGAAATAGTAGATAGCCATGATTACTCGTTGTTCAAATTTGATGTTAGTCTACTAATTACTACCTTTGAATTTGCATGATTAATTTCTCGCAAACTTGCCATTATGCATATAGTAATTTGAAAGAGTTGCCTCTATTTTTCTTAAAAGAGTTATCTACTATGATTTTGTTTAAAGATTAAAATTGAGATTCTTTTATATATGTTTAGCATAGCTTATATAAGTTGTTAATGTTTTTATAATTTTCAATTTAAAGCTTATATGTGTTTCTAGTTGTCCTTCTGCCAACTTATTTTTAACTTAATATTCTGTCTTTGAGCATGTTGATATTATAATGAAGGATGATTTAGGGTTAATTGACCTTGTTCGTTTGTATAAAATGATGAGTCAGTGCCATTTTCTTTCCCTTTTACTCTTTGCTTGAGCAAAAATTCAAAGATTTTGGATTCTTTGGTTTTCCAAAGAGAATGTTGACAAACATTCTAAAGCTGAATGGGCTGTTGCTTTATGCAATGCTGAAGTATATTACCTAATATTCTCAAGGATTTGGAAAATAACAATCAAATTTTTTGTACAAGGTTGAAAATTGCAAGGGGAAGAAAAAGGAAACCAATAATTGTGAATGTCCAAGACACAATCAATGATGAGTCTTCCTCCCAATAGCTGCAACAAGATGAAGTTGGATAAAAAACATTTTTACTTTAAACTGATATTTTAATTTAATCTTTTTATGGTTAACTATGAATGTTATATACTAATGTTTAAACCTTGTTTTATAGGTACAAACACCCATGAAATTCCAATAAAACCAAAAAGATGCGATACTAAGTATTTGGATGTTCACAAGCAAGGGCCAAATGAAAGGATTAAGGTTGACATGAATCGAGATGGGCAAGCTATTGGTCCAGGTAGTCAAAAGCTTAGTAGTTTCTTAGGCACAATTGCTAGAAATTCCATGCTATGTCCCTTAAATTATAAAAATTAGAGGAACATGCCTGAGAGTACCAAGGCTGACCAAATGGCTTGTATTGAGGTAATATTACCGTCAAAAAATTGTTTACTTATTTATTTGATGATAATTAATATGATATTAATCATTGTTTTTTTGATTGTTTCCTTTTTTTTTTTTCTTTTTCAAGATAAAGTTCATTTTCTCTGAAAAGCTTTGATCTTGGATAAATAAATCTTTGGCCAAAAAGTGGAGGTATCACAAACATGAGCTAGCCAACAGCAAATACTTTGACCTTAACAAAACACATGAGGAAAATTATAGGAAAACACCTCCAAATGTCCCTCCTCAACAATGGCAATTCTTGGTGAAGCACTTCTTGTCACCTGAATGGAAGGTCATGAATGCTCCATGTTTTAATGAATTACTAATTTCTTAAGTCACATAGGCTGTTATATAATTCATGGTTTTTTTTTTTTCTTTAGAATCTGTCAAACATTGGTAAGAAAAGTAAGGTGCAACAAAAGGGATTCCATACTTGTGGAAGCAAGAGCTTTGATAACAAAGTGGAGGAGCTTGTATGTTAGGATTAATTTTGATTATTGACTTTACAATCATCATTGAATGTGTTATTGACTATATAAGATTTTGTAAATAAATTAGATAATCACCATACATGTGTCATTTATAATTCATATAGTTCATTTGAAGATCCTTAGGATACTTAAAATAAAACGCTGGGTTGATTTAGTTTGCTGAAACATTCCAAAATACTTATTGAAATGTTTGTAGAAAGAAGAGAATCCAAATGATGTTGGGAAGATTGAGTTTTATCGGATAACACACACCTTAAAGAATGGTGATATTGTTGATGAAGAGGCTAAAAGAATCTTGGTTCATATTTGGTTCCAATTTTTTTTTTTCTTTTAAGGAATCATAGATATTATATGTTTCCTTGTTTCGAAGTTGACAATTTTTTAGCATATGTTTTTATTCACTTTTTGCAAAATGAGGCTGAAACTCCTTTTGAAAAATATAAGCAAGAGAGCCCAAATTCAAGCACTAAAGATTTGTTAAAAGTTGAAAGAAAAATCATGTCAGAAGTTAGGGGGTTTGAAAGGAGTAGACATGTAAGAGGATTGGGGTTAGGACTAAACCCAACCTTAGTTGGTATCTCCGAGGCTTCTTCAAGTAAAAATGGCAAATTGAAAAAAGTGAAGAAAGAGTTGAAATATCTAAAGGGGTAGATGTTAGCTGTATTTGAAATTATCAAAGATGTTAGCTTGGCAAGACATTATCAATACTGAACTTATATAATTGTTATAAACAAATTAATTTATATATCCTACTTCCATCCTTAGATGCATTGGATGAATTATTTTGATTACTTTAGTGCTATAATCTTTTCTAATTTCATTTGATTTTAAAGAATTGCTCCTTATATATGGACACATCCTTGGATGGTTATATTTTTTGTGTTTATGCATTCCTTAGGCTATGTTCTATCAACATACAGACTTGAGTTCTATTAGCATGAATGATGATTTCATGCATTGTCCTTGGATTTCATCTATTATTTCTATTGCCATTGTTAGATAGCCCTACAGCTTTGTGGAATTTTGACATGAATATTGTGATCTCTTACATCTTTTTGTCTTCTTCTTCTCTTTTATTTTACCATTTCACTCCCCTTTTCAATTATTGAAAAAAGTGTGTATCATGGAGTGGAATCCAATACTTGTATCTTCTGCTAATGGTGGTGTCTAGTTCTATGGTTTCTTCACCTCATATATGATGAGGAAGGTCCCAATACTAGGTTGTTGTAGATTTATGAGTTTTACATTTTCCCTTATCCTATCCATCATTCTTGGTTCTACAATGTGGACTAATGAAAAATATTCTTAACTTTTGTCAAATTATGTACAATTGTAGGATTTATCTAGCATTACTGGCAGGGTAAATGCAAACTAGCCTTCTTCTTCATCAAGCCAGCAGTTTTATTCAAGCCACTCTTCTTCTTCAACCCAAATGGAGTAATCCTGTGTTAATTATTTTGGTTTTAGATGTAGTTGCTTAGATTAATCAGTGTCATAGATGATTTGGTGTTTTGAACATTGATTGCTTAGTAATGGTTTGAAGTAATTGTACATAGTAAAGCTTATTTTCCTTAATGACAATCAATTTCATAGGTGTATGAATCGATGAATATTTTGAATACATAGATGAATGAATTTTTGTTGTTATATGACGTGGGGAGGGTTGCATGTTAGTTGATAACATGAAATTTGTTTAGGGATTTAATTCTAGGTTATCATAGAATGTGTTTTCTAAATGTTATGTGTAATTCTCTTCTAAGATACTAGACCACTTCTGATCTTATAATTTTCCTTGACAAAGTGTTGGTATGCAAAGTGCTCTTAGTTAGGATATTTTTGGTTCTTTATCATTTGAGTCCTACTTTCTGCATGCTGTTTGTTTGTCAACATATTGCCATGTCTTGAATGAATATATTTGAATCCAAAATTAAATAGTTAAAGTTTCTAACATGGCAAAATGGTTAAAAATAGCCAAGAGAGTTTGGAGGCACTTTAGAATGCCTGAAAATAGAGTATGTAGTGCTAAAAAAGAAGTGCTAAATAGAGTATGTGTGTATGTACAGCGTAGAGGGGGGGGGGTGTGGTTAATCTAAAATAATTGAGGCCCAGATTTTTTTATTAAAAAAACAGGCAACAAAAATAGCACAAACTCTATATATAATGTCAATGACTTAAGTAATTTAGTGATTATTTAATTTTGTTGGAAATAAGAGATCCTGAGTTCGAGTTACATGGTATGTGGATGAGGTGGGATAAGAGACGAGAGTTGATTGTCTTTTATTGTGCAACCAAAAAAAAAAAAAAAAAAAACTCTATCTATAATGCCTTGGTCCCACCTTTGAGTATGATTGAAAAATAAATGTGGAAATCAATCCATATTAAAAATTAGAGTTTAAATTTTTGAAAGTAAGTAAATATTGGCCTGCAGAATTGTTAGTTCAATTGTAAATTTTAATTCAAGTTGTTTTATTTTTTATCTCAAAATAATTGTTATTTTTAATTTCTTTTTCAAATTACTTCATCTATCGTGTAATAACTGTCATTTTTAAGTTGACCTTTCCTCCAAATGATGGATTTATGTGTTATTTATGTATTTATTTACGTTACCCTTAAAAAAAATTAAAAGATATAGTAAAATTTTTTTAATAAAATAAGAATTAAAATAAATGAAAAATGATAGAGTTAAAGTTAAAAAAAAGGTATTTATTTAAAAAGAAAAAAACAACAATTAATCTGGACAAACTCTAAATAAAAAATAACAGTTATTTTAAAACAAAGGAATGAAAGAATTTGAAAACAATTTATGCGTTTATTTTATTATCCTTAAAAAAAAATAATGAGAGCCTTGTTGTAATATAATGATTAATTAAAATAAATAGAAAATGATAGTGTTAAATATGATAGAAACATTTGTAAACTTTAAAAGGTTGGAAAAAAAATGATTTGAATCAAGTTCAAAAATAAAGTTATTCAGTTATTTCAAATTCAATCTAGAAAAATGATTAGATTCAGTCTAAAAAATTGATTGGTACACCATAGAGTTAATTTTACACACCTTTTTTTTTTTTTTTGAGGGAGAAAGTGACATATATTATTAACAAAATAACTAGTATAAGTTTAGCGTACAATATCATCAAATAGTAAGGTTAACAAAATATTAGGAGGGCAATGAGCCCAATAATAAGGGCATTGTCCTCGAATAGTAGCAACCGCTACCCAGTCGGCAACGCGGTTTCCTTCACGGGGAACAAAAGAGAAGGAGTAGGATGGCTTGGAGGAAGATAACTCTCTGATACTTTGTATGATTGAACTGATCTCCCATGGAGGAGGCTTGACTGCATCTTGTGCATATGAGATGAGAGCCTCATTGTCGGATTCAAAGATCACAAAAGTCCAACCCATGTCCGTGGCATATTGTATTGCTTTGAGAAGAGCAGTCGCTTCAGCCATGAGAGGAGAGGAAGCAGAGCATCGCCATGTCCTTCCTAGTAGAAGATCGCCATCAGAATTTCTACCTACCATAGCTAAAGCAGTTATGCCAGAAGTCGATACATAAGAGGCATCCACATTAATTTTCATGAATTCTGGTGGAGGACGAGTCCAGCAGGAATTATCTTGTTTTCTTGCTGCTGCCTTCTTTGGTGGATTGAGTAGATCTTTGTTGGCCCCGAAGCAATAATCCTGAAACATGCCAGTAGCCTGAGTGAGAACCTGATTAGGATTGAAATCAGATTGCTCAAAATATTTTTTGTTCCTTGCCTTCCACACAGTCCAGCAGATGACTGCCCACTGCTCGATGAGTAAGGATGTGCTCATTTGTTGTGCCATGGTATTCAAATATCTCCACCATTCCACAAAGTTTTGCAACCTCAGCTGCCCTGGAATAAGACCCAAGGCTGAACCAAACCATATTGGCTCCACATGAGGGCAATAAAGTAAGATATGCATCAAGGACTCATCAGCTAGTTGGCAGATTTGGCAAAGAGCATTGTTCACAACCCCTTTTGCTAGTAAGTTATCTAAAGTGGGTAATCTATTAAGCATAGCTCTCCATAAGAAAAGCTTAACCTTGGGGGGTAACTTAAGTTTCCAGAGGTGCTTCCATTCGGTGGGTGAGACAGAGAAAGTTCCTGCAATTAGATCAGATCCATTGGTATATTTGTAGGCAAGGAAGTATGCACTTTTGACAGTGAAAATGCCAAATTTGTTGAAATGCCAGACAAAGTTGTCAGGACAATTCCCTGTAGGGATTTTAGCAATTTCCTTACACTCTTCGTTTGTGAAGCAGGTGCTAAGCTTAGAAGCATCCCAGTTCCCTCTTTCATCAAGTAAATCACAAACATGAATGTACAAAGAGTCAGATGAAGGGGAAGAGGATACCTTAAATTGTGGTAAGGTTGGTATCCAGGCATCATCATAAATCAGGATCTGTCTTCCATCACCTACATTCCAGCGGACTCCAAGTTGAAGGATTTCTCGTCCCTTCAAAATGCTGGTCCACGCCCAAGATGGATGGCTGCCCTTCCTGGCAAGAAAAAAGGATGTATCTCTGAAGTATAAGCTTTTAAGTACTTTTACCCATAAAGATTGGGGGTTTTGTAAAACTCTCCACGCTTGTCGAGCCAGCATGGCTAAGTTAAAACAGTGTAAATCTTTAAAACCCATCCCCCCAGCAAACTTACTTTTGGACAGTGATTTCCAACTAACCCAACACATTCTTCTCTCCTCCTGTTGTTGTCCCCACCAGAAATCACGAATGATTCTATTAATATGCTTACAGGTGCTTATTGGAAATAAGAAAGTAGACATAGTATAGGTGGGAATAGCCATAGCCACTGCCTTAATAAGAATTTCCCGACCAGCTTGAGACAATAAAGCCACTTTCCACTGTTTTAGCTTTCTATGGATTCTGTCCACCACATTTTCCAAACTGGCTTTTTTAGATTTCCCCCAAGAGGTAGGTAGTCCGAGATATTTAGTAACAGTAGATTCCCTGTTAATGCCAAGCTGGTCGCATATTGTTACTCGTAAATCACTAGTGGTATTAGTACTGAAAATGACAGCAGACTTAGCAAAATTAACCCGTTGCCCAGTAATATCTCCATACTGTTGTAAGACATATTGTAAATAACTCACCTCCTCTACCTTCGCTTTGCAAAAAACAAGAGAGTCATCTGCAAACAAGAGGTGATTGATAGCTGGGCCTCTATTTCGTATCTTATAGCCAGATACTTTCTTATCAGCAACTGCTGACAATATGAGACGAGACAAAATGTCAGCAATAAATATATACAGATAGGAGGACAAAGGGTCACCTTGACGAAGCCCTCGCTGTGGGGTGAACGAAGGGGTGGGTACACCATTTACCAATACATTGTAAGAAACAGTAGTAACACATTGCATGACCCATTGAATCCATTTTTCGCAAAATCCATGTGCTCGCATCACATATTCTAGGCAGCCCCAGTCAACACAATCATAAGCCTTCCGGATATCAAGTTGAAGAGCCAGATAGCCATTCACCCCTGTTTTCTTTAGCTTCAGTCCATGGAAAGCTTCTTGGGCAATTGATATATTATCTTGTATGAATCGACCTGGGATAAAAGCAGACTGAAAAGGAGAAATGAGACCATCAAGATATCCCTTCAGTCGATTAGCTAGCAATTTAGAGATGATCTTATAGGAAAAATTACAGAGAGAAATGGGACGAAACTGAGTGATCAACTTGGGATTTCTAACTTTGGGAATGAGTATGATTTGAGTTCTATTCATTTCCCGCAGCATATATCCATGTTCAAAGAAATGCCTTACTGCTTGACAGACATCCGTTCCAATCAACTCCCAATGTTGTTGATAAAAGCATCCTGGAAAACCATCAACACCAGGAGCCTTAAAGGGTCCAAGCTGGAAGACAACTGCTTTAATCTCCTCATCCGAGACATCCCTACATAAATCCGCATTCATCTAATCAGAGATAGAGGGGTGAATGAGGTTGTCAAGCAAATTATAGTTAGTAGCCTCTTGTGCGGTATATGCTTGCTGAAAGTAATTAAAAGCATAGTCAAGCAGGGTATCCTCCTTATCCAACACTCTGCCGGTGTCATCTTTTAATTGATAGATATAATTATGTTGCCTCCGCTTGGACGCAACAGCATGAAAGTATCTAGTATTCTTGTCCCCAAAGTTGATCCAATTAGCACGGGCCCTCTGGAACCAATGAGCTTCTTCTTGAGCCCATAAGATGTTGATTTGCTTGATTAGGCTTGTTTGTTGTTTTATATTGCTGACAGAAGACTGGTTCTACTACAAAGCTTCTAATTCCTGTTGCAGTTGATTAAGATCTTCATGTGACCTTATAGAGGTTGTTTTGCTCCAAATCTGCAGATTTTTATTAAGATTATGCAATTTAGACATTAAGGTGAAAAGAGGGGAACCTAACTTGTCAGTGGTCCATCCACGATAAATCACTTCAAGATAGCCATCTTGTAGTTGCCACTTTAGTTCAAAGCGAAACCTCCTCCTCTACTTTCTGGGAATGGCTTGCAAGCATAACATTAGTGGGCAATGATCAAATCCCATTTTGGTGCAGTGGAACAATTGTGCGTTTGGATAAAGTTGATGCCATGTATCATTCATAAGAGCTCGATCAAGTCGTTCGCTAGTATTTTTGCTTCCCTGTCTCCCATTGGTCCACGTATAGATTGAACCTTTGAATCCAATCTCCCTTGAGAACATATAGCCATTAGTTCATTGAGGATGACTCTATCAAGTATTGTTGGAGGTCTCTTTCCACGCTTATCAGCACTGTCACCTACTAGATTAAGATCACCCATTAACAACCAAGGGATTGACATGTTTCATTGCATGCCCATCATTCTATTCCACATAGATCTTCTGAATTGAGTATTAGGTTCCCCATAAACAAATGCAAAGTGCCAAGAAAGAACATAGTCAGCTGTTGAAGAACAACCATCAAAGAAAAATTTATTCAACTCAAAAAGAGAAATATGCACATCTTCAGTCCACCACAAGGCTAAACCCCCCGAATGACCTTGTGGGTCATTATACACACTAGAGGAAAATCGAAATTGTCTTC